TAGGTGCTTGGAAGTTTCACTACTGGGCATTCTTTTGGTTTAAGGCTTTGAAGGTATCTATAAAAATCATATATATTACCGGCAATAGCTTTATTCATCTGTGCCTCATTGTAGTTCTGAAAATGGGCCCCAACCTTGTACTCTGTCCAAGACTCTGTCCTGGAGCCCTGCCTAGTAACCCAGCCCCTAGGATGAAGCTCTGCTTTGCCCATGTCAGACTGCCTCCCCTGAGTCTGGAGATCTAGCTCCAAATCCAGATCAGGGGCTGTGGCCCTACTGCGATCTGAGACGTGTCCCCAACAAGGCCTGCCCGCCTGGTGTCTAGCAGTTTCTGTGGCCTGGCATCCCTGCTGGTGTGCTCCTCCACCTTCCCCGCCCCCACCTCTCTGTGCACTTGATGTCTTGCTGTTTTGAATTCCCTGATGCCAAGGCTACTCTGGACCACGCCCTGCTGGCTCTCTCCCAGCCCCTTTAGGTATAATATTCTGCCTACCAGCCTGGAATCCCTTCTGGCGCCTGCAGCTAGCTCTGTCCTTGAGCACCCTCGCCTTCCCTTCCCATCCCTACCCCAGGGAATAGACTTAGTTTACAAGGCCCGAAATGTGTTATAACAATTGATACTGGTGGAAATAATTGTTGCAACATCAAATTGAGCTTTTTAGAACTTAATGTATGATATTTACTTGTTTTAATTCAGACCTTTTATATGTGCTACTTCTGCTTCCTTGAGTGAAAATATTTATGTCCCTTGAGGTCTTTGCAGAAAGAGGTATGTGTGTTTTGCAATAGCTAATGCCAAACAGTGTTGTTTTAGGTGCTGCTTGAATTCTGTGTCTTTCAAAAATGTTGGACCAGACTGAGATAAGGGACAGCTGTATTCTGGAGTTTCCTGGGAGGAATTTGGATTCTCCCACCTAGGTTCTTCCCCTACTTATCAGAGGCTAGCTTCTCAGCTGTCAGATCCCAGCTTCAGTGTTACTTCCTCAGAAAGAACTTTCCACCCAGCCCATCTGAAGAAGCCCCACACCCACCTTTGTTAGTCCCCTATTTGTTTCCTTCATGCTACTTATCACAATTTGGAATTATTTTGTTTGCTTACTTGTGTTAGAGTTCCTTCCCCACCAGACTGAAAGCTCCAAAAGATAAAAATCATGTCCTGTTTGTAAAATTGTATTCCTACAGACTAACATAATGCCTAGCTCAAAATAGCTGTTTAATGTATATTTATTGAATGAAAGTTTTTCTCTCTTCCAGTTGAAATAACGACAAAAAATTACAGACCCTACCCATCTCCAATGACCATCAAGTGACCAATGAGAGGAAACACCACTAATCCTCTTCTATTTGCGTATCTAACATTTGAAAATTCTGTTTATCGTCAAGGGCCAATATACGGACTGACTGCAGGGGCTTCCAAGATCTACTGAGGATTGAGAAATGGGTGGCTAATCTTTGGCAGCCCCCCACTCTCCAGCCTTGCTGTCTCCTGTCCACATCATGAAGCCAATCCTTTAAGATACCTGCAAGGTATCTAGTGCCCTTGTTCTTTTGATTTTTGCTCTGTTATCCAAATTTGCTATTGGGAAAAAATTTTAAACTCATTCGTGCCATGATTCTTCATAGGAGTGTTATTAACATTTAGCCACTTGAATACTTTTGCCACTGGAATGAGCACTAGTGGTAGAAATTCTGTTCTTATCTGGCACTGGAAGAAAGAAATTAAGAAAAGTGGCCCACAACCTGGGGTGTGTTTACTATATTATCAGTCACCTTATGTTCTTTAGTGATGAGCCTTCTGGGTGGGGAGTGGGGTGAGGAGAGAATAGAAAATGAGCTTAGAGATACATGAGGCTGAAATCTTACTCACTATAAAATAAGTTCTTTAGCTTTTGCAGTCTGGGTGTAATATAAACTGTTCGATGTTGATAGCTATGTTTATAACACTATGAGATAGATTGCTTCTTTTCTACTGGAAGAAAATGGGTCCCAGATGCTTTTTCCAGTTAGACTACTCAGGCACCTCTGGGCTGAGCTCCTTACCCTTGGACAGATGCCAGGTGTACTCCTGAGTCTCAACACCAGTGTCATAAGATGTATTCTATGATCTCTTTGCAAAGTGCTTTTCTGCCCTGATAAACAAGACTGATTGGTAGTTAAGATAACACTTCTGTTTGTTTTTCCTAGCCTTTGTTTCTTTCCGTTGGAAATGGCACTCATTTGTTAGTGAAGGGCTGGGTGGTCCCTTGACCCTTTATTTGGAGCAAGAATTACTTCTCCTCTACCAAAGAAATGAGATATGAATCAAAGAGGCCAATGAGAAGCTGGCTCACTGTCAGAGACCCTTTTTGGTCCTCAATTTCCATGTCTGTAAATGGAATTCTAAGACCTATTTCACAGAGTCATCCTTGGGGTTTCTACTTCTCTAAAGTCTCAGCCATTTTTTAATGGTCAGGTCTGTTCTTTCCTCTTCTATGTAGTTTGTTGTTTTTCATATATATCACTTCCTGGAGCCTTATGGTTCTTAGAATCGATAAGTTAATTCCCATTTAATTATGTTCTAATTATTAGAATAGAATTATGCGAGTTAATTTGATCAATTTGGGTAGATTGTGAGCTTCATAAGGGGAAGTTCTGAAATTATCCCTCAATATCCCAGGTTTTCAAATATAATGTATTTAAAATAACAAAAATAATAAAGATAACAATGACAATTACCATTTAATGACTGTTATGACCCAAGTACTCTGCTGAACTCTTTATGAACAGTCTCTCATTTAACAACCCTATGAGGTAGATATTACTAGGCCCAATTTACAGATGAACAAACCATGGCTCAGAGATTAAGTAGCTTGCTGGATTCCAGATGTAAATCAGCAGCTGGGATTTTAACCCTCACATGTCTTACTCCAAAGCTCTTTGCATTGGAATGACTGGTCCAAGGGCCCATCTCCCCACCAAGTCTGCCATCCTTCTCCTGTAGTCACAGCATGAAAGGGACACAAAAGAGAGACAGGTGTAGAAACAGATTTTATTAAGACAAATTATACTTATTACTTCCTTTTTCCTTCCTAAATGCCTCACCATCAAGGACTGATCTCATAACATTTCTAATTCAGGAACACTCATTTCACAAAACAGACACATTTCAGAGATGGAAGGAGAGAGAATCTTAATGCCAGTGCCAGGCAATAGATAAAAAGGTGTCTCCTCCAGGATCCTGGGATGACCAGTCATTCCTACCTAAACAGTCAGTTCCCTCCACCTCTCTATTCTCATCCTTCTTTCCACCCACCAATAGCATCCAAATATCAGCAGAGGAGCTGAGATGGACAGATGAGGCAGAAGCTCAGCCTCCTTCTGAGACTTCCCCTTCTCTGTCTCAATCTCTCATGCCTATCTGTTTAGGCTGATAACACCAAGACAGTGAGGCTCAGACCCTCTGCTGGGCAGCTGAAGAGGAGGGCAAGAATACACATTTCTCTGTGATTCCCTTTCCTTATTTCAGGACTCTGATCCCCTTCCCGCCCCCCTCCCCCCGCCCCATAATCACACACACACACACACACACACACACACACACACACACACAAGCACACACACACAAGCACACTTAAAATGTAATCATTTCTTTGTAAGTCTCAGTGTTCAATTCTGAGCATCCTTTACCTTCACTCAAAATGGCAGCCACCCTATATGGATCCAGTGAATAGAGAAACCAGGTCAGTCCCTAAGGAAAGCAGGGCTTTTCTGCAGCCCCCACTGAGCAGTCTCATTAGGGGTATCAGGGAGATGTAGGAATCTCTGTGCTCTTTAATAAAGACCCTGCCAAGAAAGCTGGAGATTCCCCTACTGCTTACATGCCCCTGCTAAAGCCTCTAGGGAACAAGCGATCTGGGGGCCTCCATAACTGTCATCACACCTCATCTTGGCACTCTAAGTTGGCAGTCAGCAAGGGAAATAAATAGGAGAGAAAAATAGTTTTCCAGGGTTTTCTCTCCTTTTTTATTTTCATCTTCACAGCAGAATTATTTTTTCCCAAGAGGAATATGAGAAGTACAATGCCCTCTTTGTTTTAATAAGACTGGGGGAAATTCCACTGGCCTCAGTGGCTGGTGATCTGGTCAGGATCCGAGAAAGGACGATGGCTTCTTGGGCATTTCTGTCGATAAGGTCTTTAGTGGAGCACTGGGTGAACCGCCAAGGGAGGAAGAGAAGGGATGGTTTCTATCATCAGACTGAACTGTAAAGGAGCTGCAGGATGACAGGTGGTGGCAGGAATTCCAGTGGAGTCTGTGTGTACAGTCACTCCCTAGAGGATCTGGCACCCCCATGGGCTGTGTGTACACCCTAGTAGGAGGAAAGACTGCAACATCAACGAGGGAGAACATTTGCCTAAGATACATACCAAGGCACTTGTAAAGTTGAGGCTGCTGATCAAGTTCTAAAGATCCCTTTGAAACACTGGTAGAAGGAGAGGCAGCCAAGGGCAGACCAAGGCCATGTCACCACCACTTCAAGGAATGACCCATGGAGACAACAGATTCAAGAGCACATCTACTGGAAGTTCCCTGATTCATGCTCTCTATTGGCTGGGAATTTGGGGCTTTTCCTTAGGAAGAGGGAGGGTAATTGGGTCAAGGAAGCCATAGAGACTTAGAGAACACATCTAATATATTGGTGGTACGTAGATTCTGTCTTTCTGGCTATCCCCTCCAGACCAGGTTTGCCATAGTTCCCTTCCCTTCCTCCACCCTGTTCAATGAGTAATCTGAAAGGCTTCATTGAGTTTACTGGGTAGAGGATGGGAAGGAGGCAGCAATCTGGGTGGGTAGCCAGGTCTCTGACTACACTCACAAAGCCCTGGTTATACCTTCTGAAATTAATAAGCAATGTCATTAAGACCCAGGGACCAAAAGGAGCACAGCCATGATGAGAATGAGACAGCAGGGAGTCAGAAGGGGCACATCTTCCCTCTCTGAGCCTCCTTCGTTCCCACCTGGTCCCAGTCTTCCCATGCTGGAGGGTCACACTGATAGGTCATCTGACCTGGCCCTGCTACTGGCCTTGCTAAAACGACGTTTGTCGCTATGGTAGCCGTGGGAGAGTTGCTGACCTGATGAGACTCCGTTGGACACCTCAGGCTTCTGGCCATAATGAATGTGGATGAAACCCTCCCCAGGAATCTGCTCCTGGCCTTGCACTTGCTCAGTGGCCAGGTTGTCTGTGTTCTGCTGCGAGGCCACATTATTACTGAAGGGACTAAAGAATTTTCCCCCAGGGCCATTCTCCAGGCACTGACTGAAGTCAGGGGGTGGCGTGCAGGTCTGGACTATGCCCGCAGAAAGGCCAGGAAGCTGACACTTAGCCAGGTCCTGCCGCGACTTGAAAAAATGCCGTCTGGTCTTCTTCCAGCCCAGGTGATAGAGTTCGGCCAGGCTGAGGAAGAGGGATAGTCCCGCCACAGCCAGCATAAAGACAATGAAGACATTCTTCTCCGTGGGCCGGGATACATAACAGTTGACAGGGTGGGGGCAGGGACTCCTGCGGCAGACGTGCAGGGCTTTCAGAAAGATCCCGTAGAGAAGGTACTGGCCCACAATGAAGGCCACCTCCATGGTGGTGCGAATCAGGATGCTGCAGACATAGGTGTTGAGCAGAGTGCCCTGGAGCACAACCTTTCCATGCACTTCCTCCCAGCAGGACTTCTCGGCTACCGGGTATTCATAGGACGCAGCGCCCTGGACCCCTTTGGCCCTCTCGGCCTCCCGCAGCTTCCGCTTCTCTTGCATGCGCACCGAGTGCATGGCGTGGCCCATGTACGCCAGAGAGGGCGTGGAGACGAAGATGATCTGCAGCACCCAGTAGCGAATGTGGGAGATCGGGAAGGCTTGGTCGTAGCAGACGTTCTCGCAACCAGGCTGGAGGGTATCACACTGGAAATCAGCCTGCTCATCCCCCCAGGAAGACTCGGCAGCCGTGCCCAGCACAAGCATGCGGAATATAAAGAGGACAGTGAGCCAGACCTTGCCGATCACCGTGGAGTGCTTGTGTACTTCCTCGAGAAACTCTCCCAGAAAGCTCCAGTCGCCCATCTTGGCTCGGCTAGGGTTCAGACGCCAAGACTTCTGCTAAGCAGGAGAGAGGAAGAGAGAAAAAGAGAGATGTTTCTGCAGAGGTCCGGAAGGTCCCATCCTGCTGTGGGATTCCAGTGATCCGTACCAATGTGTTCTTTAAGAAAGTGCAACTTAGAAGTCAGATGTACCCAAAAAGCTCTCCTTTTTATCCCCCCAGCAAAAATTAAAAGAAGATTTGACATGGTCATATTAGCAAGGTTAGAGCATGGCTCCCACACTAATGGATCTAGAAATTAACGGAGGTGTGTTCTACAATGTGCATTCTATGCTCTTACCCTCAGAGATTATACTTCGGGAGGTTTGGGATGAACCCCAGTAATCTGGATTTGCAACAAGCAGCCCAGGTGATTCTGATGCAGGCAGGGTAGGGACTGCATCTAGAGAAATACCAGAGTAGTAGGAAAAACACAGTATTGGAGTCTGCAAATGTTTGCAAATGTGACTCTGGGCATTAACCTCACTGAATCTGTTTTCTCTTCTGTCAGATGGGACCAAGAATAGCTACATCAGAGGATTTAGGGGATCAAATGAGATGAGGTATGTGATATGCTGAAAATCATACTATAAATGTTCCATATGTTTGAATGACTGTCAGATGGAAAGGAATTTTTTTATGACTCCAGAGGACATAACTAGGTGGAGGAGGAAGGAATGAGGTTGGGAGTGGCAAATTTGGCCTCTCAGAAAGTAATCTGAAATGATCAGAACCATTCAGCATGGACCACCTATGTTGGAAGGTAGTGAATAAAAAAAGCATGCTTCAGGCCCTGGGCTCCAAGCTGGGGCAGTCGGGGGTGAGGGCCTCAGCCACGCCCCCCCCCCCAATGTCTGCATCCAGCCCAGTGACGACCACCAGGTCACCTCTAGAAGTGCCCTGGGCCCCTGGGTTGGGGGGGGGCCAAGGGCCTCAGCCATGCCCCCCCACAGTCCACATCCAGCCAAGCCACAACTGAGCTGCCACCAGAAGCCCCCTGGACTTCCCTGCTGGAATGAGAGGGGTGTCACAGGCCTCAACCATGTCCCCCCTCCCTCTTCCTCCCACACTATCTCCCTTCCCTTTCCCCTCCCCCAACTGTTCCACAACATCTTAGAATGTAAAATAATAATAATAATAATAATAATTAATTAATTTTTTTTTAGAAAGCATGCTTCAGTCACACCAGCTAAAGGTATCACAGATGAGTGCTCAGCTCCCCCCAGATGGTAAGCCACAGGCATTGTGGATCTCCCACACCTCAGTGCAGCACAGCCATTCTAACCATACAGCTCAGCTTGCCCTGCTGCTAAGTGTTCTGCTTACAAATGGTACCCACACACAGACCTGCTCACCCTCATGTCCAGAATAAATGCCCAAACCTTTATGTCCTATACAAAATCCTCCTTCATCTGGCCTTTGCCTGCTTCTTTAGCCCATTTCCTACCTGTCCCCATGAGTTCCCTTTGTTCAGCCATGCCAAGTCCTGGCAGATTTCTAAATGTCCTCCTTCCAGCTACCTCCTACATGACCTTTCACCCCTAGCTGAATGCTGTTTACCCTTCAAAACTTAACCTAGTCATTGCTTCCTCTAGCCCTTCCTGCTCCCTCAAGCCGAGCCTCTTCAGCTCCTGTGGTGACCCTAGGGACACTCACTCCTCTCCCAGCATTTGCCACCATGTTTTGCAGTCCTCTGTCCATCTATGTTCTTCCAACAGGGATTGTTTGAAAATAGAGATTGTTTTTTTCTCTCTATCATCAGAGCCTAGCCCAGAGTAGGCACTTAGGAAATCTTAGTTGAATGAAGGAAGGAGAGGGTGATAGGCACTGGTATTTCCTACCCAATGGCAAACCAGTTTGTTATTCCCTGCTGACCTCCCATTAGCAGGTGAAAAAGCCAGGTACCACTTTCTCAGTCTCTACTGCAGTTAGTTCTGGTCAGTGAGGTATGGGGGCAGTTTAGTGTGGAGGGAGTATTCTGGAAAATGTTTTTCCATCCCCCAGTGAACAGAGGGAGCCTCATTTACAGTTGTCCCCCCACCCCCCCACTGCTTCCTGCTTGTAGACAGGGTTGTGTGAGCCAAGTTGTCTGAAGCTGCCCAGAGAATCTGAGAAATGCCAACCAGTGCCCTGAGGTCTCTGAATCAACTCTTGAATCTCCTACCTCCAGAATTCTTACTTGATGAGCAATAAATGTCCTTAGTGTTTGAACTTTTAAGGAATCACAATCAGCAGGATGACAAAAAGATAGGAGAGAACTGAATATAAATATTCACTTCTTAAGAATCATAAAACCTCAGATTTGGATGGGACCTGAGAGGTTGTCAAGTTCAAACTTTGACCTTCATATTTTTGCTGCCAATGTGCTCCTGGTTCTTATTAGAACATTTTTTATTTTCCTGGGAAAAGACAGGGTGGGGATACTGCATTTTGCTGGCCAGGCTTCCTTGGCTCCTGAATTGATGCCTTGACAGAGACCAGCCTCCTGGCTCTGACTTCTCTCAGCCCTCAAGTCCCCAAGCCTGAGAGTATGCAGAGTCCCTGGGAATGAGGGAGTATCTGCGTGAGCGGAAAGGATCTTATCTCAGTTCCTCTCTGTATCAAAGACCCATCCAGGTCTTGAGGCTTTTCCTCTGATTTTTGATCAGACATCTGCCCCTTTTCCTTGGGTGGTGAAGGGCCCCCTCCTTCAGCCTCCAAATGTGGAAAATTGTGGAGCATTTGCTGGAAAGGAAAATGGTTGATTAGATAAGAGTTTGAATGGCCTGTCATCTCTTCTGGGCACGTGTACAGTGTTCAGCACCTTCAGGGTCATCCACACATGTGCAGTGGCCAGGCTGTGGTGAGTGTCTGAGAGAAAGAGGGAGGAAGAGGAGGGGAGGAATAGAAAGAAAGAGGAGCAGAAAAGGGGAATGACAAGGGGGAGTTGAAAATAAAGGAAAATCATGTCATGGTTAAGAGAAGCTGGCTGCGGGGGTTAGATAACAATTTCAGATCCCTCTGACCGTCTAATGAGCTTGCATAAGTTATTCAATCCGTGTTTCACTTTCCTCATCTGCAGAGTACTATGAGGTGGTGTATAAAAAGCACTTAGCACAGTGCTCAGCATATAAGAGCTGAATAAAAGGCAGCCATAACTAGCAAAGAGAGTAGTGGGGGAGGAGGAGAGTAAAAGGAAGAGAGAGAAAGAATAGAAAGTAGAGAAAGGTGCATCACAGAGGAGAAGAGCAAAATGGGGGAAGAGCAGAAGGGGAGAAAATGAAAGATGGAAATGGAAACAAAAAGGAAGCAAAAAGAAAGAAATGTCATATTCTTCCAAGATTTGGGACAAGTTTTCCACACTCAATCCCTGAAGACTTTTCCCTTGATCTTCTCACTCTGTAACTCATTCCTTACGAGTACCCAGGGAAATATAAAAATAGCTCCAGGCAAACAACATGACACTTGGGTCTGCCAAGAGGCTTGACTGCTGACTCTCTCACTTGTGGTCCAAGGAATCCCACCTGGAAGAAGTAAAGCACAGGTACAAGAAAAGGACATCTTGGAAAACCAGAAAGACAGTATTGGGAAGGATGTCTCAGTGGCAGGGAATGAGACACTAGCTGAGGCAGAGTGGGGATGAGGCAGACTCCCGGGCCCTGGCAGAGGAAATAGGGTAAAGGACCTTTCCTTTATGACTTCCTGCTGACACTCAGGCAAGGTCAGAGAAACTTAAAATTGCTACCATGAACCAGCCGCTCAGTTTACAATGTGAAAGGTCTCTTGCTGGCGTCAGTTTTCCAGCGACATTGGCTCCCTTTGGTCTCCCCCACCTCAGCCAGAGAAACTTGTAGATTAGATACTCAGTGAGTTTACTGGGTGTATAGCGTATAAAATGCTTTGTAGATTATTATCCATTTCTCGGCAGGAAGTGTGCTAGGAGGGGCAAAGGAAGCTGCCCATGCCATGAATAAATTCTGTTACATACAATGGAGTTTAGCTCACTGCTTTCGCTGTAATCTTCACTGGCTTCCTACCGCTTACGTAGTCCGAACTCTGTATCGTGCCGTTTGAGACCCTCCTCTAGCACAACCTCATCGTACCTTTTTTCTACTGTTCTCCTCACATACTCCGTACTTAAGCTACACAATTCCCCAAACACATCCCACAGTTTCTCCCCTTTATCTTTGCTCCTCTTGTTCCCTTTGCCTAGAATGTCCTTCTTCCTTTTCATGCACTCATTTAATATGTTTCTTGAGTGGGCACAAGGTGCCAGGCATTGAGGACACAGAAGGAAGGAGGGGAGACGAATAGGGATTCCCTGCCTCCTGCCCTTACTGAGATTAACTGCCTTTATTTCGCTTAATTAAGGGGAGATAGTAAACACATAATTTTTAAACATGAATAATTGTGTTCTACAGCCCTCTGCAGTGGGTACAGATTCTGAAATCTTTAAGGCAAAAATGCATGGTCCCTAGGACCTGGAAGAGAACATTCCAACTCTCAAGGTTCTTTACTCCAAAACCTTCAGCATCCTCTTTCAATGTGTCATATCTTGGGACAAAGCAAATTTTGAAGGAGTCACTGGGGAACTTGTTTGGTAATCATAACATAGTGTTTGGGAAAGGGCCAGAAGAAGGATCTTATGTATGGTGAGCATCAATCATTGCATGCCTTAACTTCATGCATTATATGGCTAGAAATAAAACTGTTATTTACATTTCCAGTCCAGTGCTCCACCTTAGGGTGACATTGTGGTCCCTCTACAAAGCCAATGTTTTCAATGAAAACCATTTCAGAGCAACCCAGACTAAGCATAAACTCATAGCCAGGTCCTCTTCCTCTGACTCCACAGACCTAGGGTAAAATGGAGAAGTCTTCTAAAATTGACCTCACCCCTCCTTGATGTCGCCTGGACTCTGAAAGACTCTAAGTGAGCATCTAGCATGTAGAATACATTTTCACACTTGGTTATATGCTGCCTTACACTTATTCTCCAAAAGTTTCCTGTCTATCAACCAACCCACAAGCAGTTTTTTGA